AGGAATAATATGGAACCCAAATGCTAGAAAATATTTTGAATGGTAAATAATAGATGAGATTTGAGAACATCCCCACGCTCCTCTGTTCATTTCAAATTCCATTCTCAGGACCTACACTTTCTGTATACAGTGCTTTTAAACATTTGTGAATTCCACTTCCAGAACCGGGTGTCTAAAAGTTAGACACTGCTGAGTGCCATGTACCGTTCTGGTTTACCTACAGAATCTTTTTCTAGCAATGATCATGTTGAGCCACAAATTCACCATGTCATGTGGCTTGAACTACTTGTGTCCAGGCTGCCTATACAGGGAAAAAATGCCAATCCCTGCTTTCTGCTTGAGCTTCACAGCCTGGTGAGCCGACAGCCTTACAGTGGACTGTAAACCAAAGTTTACTGTGGGTAATTAGGAATCTTGGAATGGGCTATAGCCTAAAGTCCCAAGTTCACATAACAGTACTCTCTCACTTTTGTTTCTAAACTGCAGAACCACAGGAGGACCTGGGAAACTACAGGACAGCCAGCCTCACCTCCATCCCTGGAAAGGTGATGGAATAGCTCATCCTGGATGTCATCTCCAAGCACGTGGAGGAAAAGAAGGTTATTGGGAGCAAGCAACATGGATTCACCAAGTGGAAATCATGCTTGACCAATCTGATAACCTTCTATGATGGCATGACTGGCTGGGTAGATGAGGGGAGAGCAGCGGATGTTGTCTACCTCAACTTCAGCAAGGCTTTTGACACTGCCTCCCCTAACAGCCTCACAGGTAAGCTCAGCAAGTGTGGGTTAGAAGAGTAGACAGTGAGGTGGATCGGGAACTGGCTGCAGGGCAGAGCTCAGAGGGCTCTGATCAGCAGCGCAGAGTCTAGTTGGAGGCCTGTAACTACAGGTGTTCCCCAGGGCTCAGTACTGGGTCCAGCATTGTTCAACATACCAATCAATGACATGGATGAGGGGACAAAGTGTGCCCTCAGGAAGTTTGCTGATGATACAAAACTGGGAGGAGTGGCTGACGCACCAGAAGGCTGTGCTGCCGTTCTGTGAGACCTGGACAGGCTAGAGAGCTGGGTGAAGAGGAACCTGTAGAGAACCAGGATCAGATGCGGTTTTGCCTCAACATTGCTACCATACCGCCATCTCCTGAAATCGAGCATCGTGCTCCAAGAAGACCATCCCCTTCACAGTTGTGGAATGGACAACCTCGTGTGCCTGCACGGGGACCAGGGGTGCAAAAAGCGCAGGAGAAGGCTTCTAGGGGAACAGTGAGTCCGGCATGAACCGCATGTACACATTTGTGATCTGTGCATGAGCAAGGCCCTATATAAGGAGCACGCCCCCTATGACGGTGCTCGCTCCTTTTCCTCACACTCGCTCTTTTTCCTCGCGCTTGCTCTTTTCCTTGTCTTCCCCAGCTCCTCGCTGCCTCACGCCTTCCCGGCTTTGACAGAGTGTGTCACAATTGCCAGAATCAGCAGAGAACCATCGGACTCGGAGCGGTAACAGCGAACTCTCTCTCTTTTTCTTCTTCCTTTCCTTGTCCTTCTTCCTTCCCCTTTCGCCTTCCCTCCACCTCCCTTTTTTATCTTCTCTCCCCAGTTTGTTCAGAAAATAAAAGGTTGTACAACATCTGACCGCTTTCAGCGTCTTAATCTCATCCTTGGGACTATAACGAAACCTTCCCGATATTGGATTGGGACAGAACCTAACGAAATTCAACAAGGGCAAGTGTAGGGCCCTGCACCTGGGGAGGAATAACACCATACACGGGCACAGGTTAGGGGCTGACCTGCTGGAAAGCAGCTCTGTGCAAAGGGACCTGGGAGTCCTGGTGGACAAGTTGACCATGAGCCAGCAACGTGCCCTTGTGGCCAAGAAGGCCAATGGTATCCTGGGGTGCATTAAAAAGAGCGTGGCCAGCAGGCTGAGGGAGGTTATCCTCCTCCTCTACTCTGTCCTGGTGAGGCCGCATCTGGACTCCTGTGTCCAGTTCTGGGCTCCCCTGTACAAGAAGGACAGGGAACTACTGGAGAGAGTCCAGCAGAGGGCTACAAAGGCAATCAAGGGAATGGAGCACCTCTCTCTTGAGGAAAGGCTGAGAGACCTGGGTCTGTTTGCCTGCAGAAGAGAAGACGGAGAGGGGATCTCATCAAAGCTTGTAAATATCTGAAGGGCGCGTGTCAAGAGGATGGGGCCAGACTCTCTTCTGTGGTGCCCAGTGACCAGACAAGAGGCAACGGGCACAAGCCGGAACACAGGAAATTCCATCTCAACACACGGAAAAACTTATTTACTTTGAGGGTGACAGATCACTGGCACAGGCTGCCCAGAGGGGTTGTGGAGTCTCCTTCTCTGGAGATATTCAAAACCTGCCTGGACGCGTTCCTGTCCAACCTGCTCTAGGTGAACCTGCTTTGGCCAGGGATTGGACTAGATGATCTCCAGAAGTACCTTCCAACCCCTACCCTTCTGATTCTGTGAAAGCCAGGAACCTTTCAGCGTGGCAAGGGATACAAGTACATTGCTACAAAATCACTAACACCTGCACCTAACAGGTTCTGAGAAGCAGAAAAAAAAGGTCAAATTTAAGAAAAGCAGCACTGTCTAGTCCAGATTTACAGACACGACAGCATAATCTTTTTTTTTTTTTTTTTTTTACACTGAGCTTCACTTACAACGGTCGCTAAAAGAGCTTGTCTCCATTTTGGGGATACAAAAGGGCACACGGGGACTGAGAAGTTGTTTTTTCACCTGTGACAAAAAAAAACCCAAAACAACAAAACCACGACTTCGGGAATAAGCCACCGGCAGAAATCCCCATCCCAGGCCGGAGCAGGAGCTACCGACGACAAGATGGCAGCCCCAAGGCGCAGCAGCAAGGCACTTTCTGAGCATGATACCACTCCTCCGTCGCCCTCCGCCCCTCTCCCAGAGGCAGTAATATCACTGCCGGGGTTTTGTCCCGCCCCAGGCGCCTCAGTCGGCTCTCCACCTCCCTTCGCCGGCCGTCCCGCTCCCCTCCCGCTTGCGGGCGGGGAAGGGCGACCATTCGCCTTTCCAACTGGTTTGGGCCGAGCCGGTTGCCGTCCTGCCGGGAGGCGGGGCGGGGGGGGAGGGTGCGCGCGGGGCGTGT